CTCATGTAGCAGCTCCTGCGAAGTTAATGTTTGCCCGGCTCTGCTTTAATCTAATATCGAAAGTGGATTATACAATTTAGAATGACTAGTAGAAAAGGCAAAGAACTATCGCAGGGTTAATGAAGCCGTCTCACCACCCTGTATCTTCGTGATCTTGAATTGGACACCCGACTCTCAACTTCTTGACTTTTTGATTATACTATCATTATAATTATTGCTAATTAGCCTAAAATAAATAATTTAGATGTCCCAACTTCGTACCGGTGGCCTAAATAAGAACACCATGTAACAATACATCATTATTTTGTTGTATATTTTCAGTTGTGAAATTTTACGTAAAGTATAACGCACTACAAATTTTTTGGCAATTACAGCACATTATTAAATTGAATCTATATAAAACAAGTGAAGGTTATTATTCAAAGAACAAACAAAATAACAAACATCCATTAGTCGCAGTTCAAATATTTGCCAAATCAAAATTTTATTAGTGCCTCTTGTCGCCTGTTATCAACTGATCCGTTTAATTGTGAATCTCCACATGAAATGTGACACGGCGCTATTCGATTTGTTTTTACTCATTGCGAATTGAATTGAAATGAATCAGAACGTACAACTCGTACGATATTTGTTTTTGCGTTTTAGCTATGAAATTCACAATCAGTTTGGAAATACTTATTGGTTAATAACCAATACTTTTTCGTCACAATTCCGTGCGTACCTTTGGATTGTACCATATCAAACTCAAAAACAATTCTGTTTTACTGACACCCTGTTTGTCACACAATAAAAAACCACGTTACTCGGAGTGGCTTTTGACTTAAATCCTTCCCTCACGTTTCCTAGAAAAGGTAGTTAGGTTTTCTCAAGAGTAGGTAATAATTGATAAAGGGTTAGCCCTCCCCCCAAATAGTTTTCCCAAGATTCTTAGTAAATCTAAAAATATCTGTGACAGAGATAAACCAATTGAAACTTACATATTTGCTACTACAACGACAAAAACAATGAAGTATGTAGATACTTGAAACATGCTTATTAACTACCTACTAATAAGATAACAGAAATTATTCACAATAAAAAAAGTACCTACATTGAAGATTTATTAAACAATCGTCATGTTTTATAAGTGCAATATTAATATTTTCAAAATTTATTAGCCCATTAAACCCTTTTATACCCAACGAAAGGTACCAAAACAAACCATACAGATGTTTTGGAGATATTTTATTTATTAGTTATTTTAATATTTTATCAATAACTAACTGTATTTTAATTTGAATTTACTTAATCTTATCTGCCCACTAAAGATTAATTTAATCGATTTATGAAAAGGCTGTATTTTCACTAATCAGTAGGTTGTAGTGCACCGTTTAGTGTACATATGAGTGAATTTGATTTTTTAAAATAGACCTTAAAGGGTACGTTTTTCATTCGCTTTCTATGAACAACAAAAATTAGACTTGCTTCAGGTAGACAGTTTTAAAAATTACGCCTTTAAACTTCAAACAATAAAAAAAACGTTATGACAAATGCAAAACTGCAATGCTCAAAACAACAGCTTCCATTTGTTATCAATAAACAGTCGAGAAATGTCCACGTTTATTTGCTGACGTCAAAATTTATCTAGTACTTGAAGGGTTACTAACAATTGTCAGTGAATAACGCAACAAATTTTTAAAATATGTCGATAGATTTCTGTTAAAAAAAAAACTCAATAAAAAATACAAAAAGACGTGTCCAGTCTCGCCATTTTTGAAAAAATAAAAAAGAAGGGTTGTGCTAAACTGTTACTAAATTATTATAAATTCTTTTTATTGTCTCTAGCATCGGTATGTTTAAAGATATTATCTCGAAAATTGCTCTAGTTTTTTATTTATTTACAGTATACGCAATGCTGNCTGTATTTTAATTTGAATTTACTTAATCTTATCTGCCCACTAAAGATTAATTTAATCGATTTATGAAAAGGCTGTATTTTCACTAATCAGTAGGTTGTAGTGCACCGTTTAGTGTACATATGAGTGAATTTGATTTTTTAAAATAGACCTTAAAGGGTACGTTTTTCATTCGCTTTCTATGAACAACAAAAATTAGACTTGCTTCAGGTAGACAGTTTTAAAAATTACGCCTTTAAACTTCAAACAATAAAAAAAACGTTATGACAAATGCAAAACTGCAATGCTCAAAACAACAGCTTCCATTTGTTATCAATAAACAGTCGAGAAATGTCCACGTTTATTTGCTGACGTCAAAATTTATCTAGTACTTGAAGGGTTACTAACAATTGTCAGTGAATAACGCAACAAATTTTTAAAATATGTCGATAGATTTCTGTTAAAAAAAAAACTCAATAAAAAATACAAAAAGACGTGTCCAGTCTCGCCATTTTTGAAAAAATAAAAAAGAAGGGTTGTGCTAAACTGTTACTAAATTATTATAAATTCTTTTTATTGTCTCTAGCATCGGTATGTTTAAAGATATTATCTCGAAAATTGCTCTAGTTTTTTATTTATTTACAGTATACGCAATGCTGATAATGCTTAATAAACATCACATATTATGGAATAGTTTTATAGTTTAGTGGAAATTTCTAAAAGATTTTAGTTTGTAACTATATATTTGCTTCGTCATATCCAAACCAACCAAAGAAATTTCCCGTACCTGCATTTATGAGTTTAAAGAAAAAGATTTTGTTAATTACTTAAACCCCTGATAATCATGACCGTTAAATATGTCGTTCTTGGGATCACTCTAATAAATAATATGAATAACCCCTTTTTGTACATTTCCGTATTACTATAGTAGTCGTAAAGTTAGTCTAGTTTGAATTTTATTGGTAAAAAACATACCTAAATTAATTCCTTGTTTCATCTATTTATAATACAACACCACATTAGTAAGTATTTCGTACAGTGTACAATCTTAAACGTTTGAGATATTAAATTGCGATATCGATTTTTTATCAATGCAGAAAAGGTACTTCCCGAATTGCACAAGTATTTATTCTAATTACTTTTACTTAGATATGTATTATACCACATCGTAACTTACAGGAAATTAAGAAAAGGTACATTCCTTTTTCAATAATTTCATCCCTTTATAACAAACATGAGAAAACGAACACCGACGAATGATGATGATGAAGAGGAACAAGAACCTCTTTGTGATAATACGTAAGTTTTCTCGATGATCAGTAAAGACCCAGGATAGTGTAATCATCGCATAACTGAAACTCAAGACTCAAACCTCGAAAAAACTAGCGACGTTGGGGTGCAGAATCAAATTTCTATTTGCCTAAAAAATCCCCAATATATTGACATATGAATAGTAATCGTTCTTTCCGGTTCACACTATCATGGGTCTCCTACACTAACTTTTTTAAATAGGTTAAAGGGTGCACCTTACACCACCTTCTTGATTGATATGTACATATTCATAATTTCATTTTAAAGTCGAACTGAACAAGAGATCAAACCATGGGATGTTTTCAAGGATCCTCCTCCCAAAAATCTGTCCAGTTCAATGGAAGAAAACAGAACGATAGAAAATTCCATTGTTGCTCTAAAAATTGCAACATGTATTGTAACGTTTGCTTGTGTACTGGGTGGAGCTGTGATATCTAAAGGAACTCTACTTTTTATGACATCCCAGATCAAACCTAATCAATCTCGCATATACTGCAATAAAGATCTAGGTAAATAATTCACAAATACCACAACACTTTTAAGAAAACGTGTCGGTGTTTTGCCCATTTATATTGAGAGCATTTTCAACACGAATCTTGTGTTTTTTAAATGTCTTGTGGTATTTTGGATAAATCCTTTTGCTTTTACATCTGTTACATACCGATATTTCTGTTTATTTTTTTTTTAATTTTCATGCCAAACTCAAAATCGCCATCATTATATTTAAATCTATCTCTAGCTTCTCTTAGCATCTCATCCCTGAATATCTTACCCTAATGCTATCCTGCCTTTAGTAATGTTACTGTTTTTTCGTAAATTATCGAAAGTGTAAACTTAATAGGTAATTGGGTCACTTCAATAATTTCCGAATGTGATGTCTCTAACTAAAGATAATCACTATTTATTAAATTGAATATATATACAAAACTATATACAAAAATGATTTTGGTGGTAACAAATGGTTGGTTGGTTGGTTGGTACTGTCTCGGCGAGACAGCTTGGTCAATCTCTTAAAGGGTACTTACTTACACTGGTAACTGGTAAAAAACTGGTACTCCGACTTTCTCCTTTGGCGACAAAGATTTCTAAAGGAGGTGAAATTCTTAGAATCTTTGCCGTTAAAAACATACACATTCAAGCTAAGGGTTCAAATGGTCATAAAAACAGGTACAAAATGTTAGTTTGTTTAGCTTAAAAAACGTATTTCTTTTGCTTCAAAAAAGAAAAAGGAAAAAATCGGAATATTTGAAAATAAATATTAGATAAATTTTACTTACTACTACATTTAGGAATTAATAATAATATGCATAAAAAAAAAGGTAAAATTCTGCCGAACAGTTACAATAAATTAAATGAAGCACTAGGATTATTTCATATTTAATAGTAAATAGAGTACATTAAGGAATCATCAAGAATAAGAATTATACCAATGATATGTTGATAGCCTACAGGAGTATCTTAAATATGAAATCGGCCTCCCATTAGTTGTAATTTTTGTATATAAAATGGTTTTTTAATTTCTAAAATTTCGTAATATCATCTAACACATTACATCCTCTCTGTGATCACAACATTTTTATGTTTCTTATATTATTTCAATCGTAAAATTGTTTTGAAGTCCATTTTTTGCATTTTCAAAAATCAAACCTATTGCAGACGTCTCTGGACAATTCATGGCTACAATTTCGGATACAGAACGGGTGGCTTGGATATGGCTGATAATGTGCGTGTTTTTCGTACCGGAAGTTGAAACTTTTTTACGCTCCTTACGCGTCTGCATCTTTAAAAGCTGGCGTATGCCCACAAAAAAGGATGTGTCAATTATTTTCATATCGGAAACCCTGCCAACCATCGGGACGGCGATTTTTTTGTTTTGTATTTTGCCAGAAATTGATGTCGTAAAGGGGGCAATGTTAACTAACGTCGTTTGTGTGATTCCTGGCATTGTAGGTAAGAATCATTTATTTACTTTACAGGGTACGATAGATACAATAAGGCGCTATTTTCAATTGTTGCTATTTTCAACACAATCCATTAAAATACACCTGAACGCTGGGGTGTATTTGTTAATTAAGTAAATTGACTTTGGCAACATATTTTCTTACATTTCTTAATGAATTTCTACCCTATTCTTTGATAAAATTAATTAACAGCTTATTACCTATCTTGATGTTTCTATTTTTGAACACCTTTATTATAAATATTATCAGTGATTAAGGTTATCCTTCGATTATCATTCCGAGAAGGTGTATACCTTCCCATCTATACCTAGGCGTCCCATTTTTTAAGTTATGTTTATTATTAATTACACATTAAATGAAGCATTGAATATTATTTGATATAAGATACAATTAGTATATTACTTTATTTATTATTTACTAGGATTTCTAAGTTCCCAGTCAAGAAAGAACAAAATGAAAATTTTATTCATCCTGGACATCGCAAGCGTGTTAGCACAAGTGTCAGCATTAGTCATTTGGCCATTGATTTCGGACAACAAAACCCTATGGTTAATTCCGGTTTCCCTGGTTTTAATATCATGTGGATGGTGGGAAAATTTCGTGTCAGAAGACTCCCCTGTGCCTTTCATAAAAACATATGCACAAAACACAAAAGAATTCAAAAACGACAAATATTTTGCCTACATTTTCGTGTCCGCCTGGAAATGCCTGTTATTCTTCTGTACTGTAATCATTATAATTTATATTCAAGAAAGAAGGATCGCTTTTCTTTTCACGGAGTTCACCACAGCCTTTTCAGACCACTATATCAATATAAACCAGGTAATAAGAAACAAAATTATAATAAAAAAAATAATTAACTAACAATATAGCCCGAGGAAGTCTGATACATTAAAAGTGAGACGAAATTGTTTTTTGTGATGTTCACCCCGATTTGGCTTTTAATTTAATTCTATATAATATTCTTTATTTGTATAGTTCATCAACTATACACTCCCTTGTAGCTATTAATCTCATAATATACCCTTAACTAAGTACACGGAGCAAACTAAATTTTTTTTGCCGTAGAAATAATATAATTTATCAGGTAGCTTGTAACAATATCAAAGTTGACATGTTTCTTTAAAAATTATTTCAAGTTTCTGAATTATTACAATTCAATTTGTAATATCAACTACAATAGCTAGTAAATTTATTTCTGCTGGAATTTTATTTTTACAAATTCNCTTAATTATTCTAATTAAATTTATAACATCAACTAAAATACCTAGTACATTTAGGTATTTCCGCTGGGATTTTATTTTTACAAATTCGGCTCTAAATTGTATGATAATTTTTAATAATTTCGCTTATGAAGCAACGGGATAGTGGGATGAATTGTAAATATCGCTTTAATATTTAATTATATTTTCCTTTTTCATTTTCTCCGTGTGATAATCTTCCGATGGTTTCTCAGATTCGACCGATTATTGGAGACACATCAGATTTAAGTTTGGCGGAAATCATTGCAACGGGAGGAAGAGCTCGTGTAAGTGCAGATTACATGGCTCCAGTTTGGGTTTTCGTTATCAACGTACTTGGATCATACGTATGTTACATCTTCGGAAAATTCGCATGCAAAATAATGGTACAAACATACTGTTACGCCTTTCCGATCAATCTAACCGTGCCAACGCTCATTACAGCACTGGTTGCATTCTGTGGAGTTTATAGTATCGATGAATGTGCTTTTAAAAATGCAATTCCCCAATATTTGGCTTTCAATGGGTATAAAACCGTTTTAATTAGCAAACACATTACACCTTTTTCTGCAGGTTTTTATACCACTAATGATTTTTAGCCCCCCGCTGTATTTTGTGCGAAACTTTATCGAAAACGAATTTGCATGGTTGTGGTTAATTTGGTTGCTTTCGCAAACGTGGATTTCTTTTCATATTTGGAATCCTCGAGTCGAGAGGCTCGCAAGAACCGAAAAATTATTCGCAAAACCCATGTACGACGGCGTATTCGTCGATCAATCTCTAGCTCTAAACAGAAAAAGAAACTACAAATCCATAATTGAAGAGGAAAAGGACTGGTCTGACAGTAAGTCGAAATTATAACATTTTCAGGATTTCAGGAACTATAGCAAAATAGCTCGAAAAATAGTTTACAACCAGTAAATTGCAATCTGTTCTTATATTTTTTCAATTTCGTCATAGGTTATAGCGAAAATTCCGCTAGTACGGAAGATTATTCGGAAGCGTCTTCATCTCCGCCCATTCAGGAGGACGAAACTACAAGAATTTACGCATGTGCAACCATGTGGCACGAAACTACCGAAGAAATGATGGAATTTTTGAAATCAATCTTCAGACTTGACGAAGACCAATGTGCCAAGAGACTCGCCAAAAACTATTTGGAATTTGACATACCCGATTATTTCGAAATAGAAAGTAAGTACCTATTTACCCTGCAGTGGAGAAGTGGAGATGAATGGGGTAATTGGACATGAATCTTCATATCTTCTACATTCAATTCATTACAGCTCACATATTTTTCGATGACGCTTTTGTAAGAGTATCAGTGGATGACAATGATCCCAGTGTAAACGAATGGGTAGATAAACTTGTGAAAGCAGTAGATAAGGCTGCCTCTGAAGTACACGAAATCCATATGCGAATACGAGCGCCCAAGAAGTACGTTACACCTTATGGAGGAAGATTGGAATGGACTCTTCCTGGAAAAACGAAGATGATTGCTCACCTCAAAGATCGAGCTAAAATCCGACCCAAGAAACGATGGTCACAAGTGATGTACATGTATTATTTGTTAGGGCACAGGTCAGGATTCACCTCATCATTGTTTGATCAGTTAAATACTTAAACGTCCTTCAGGTTAATGGAAAGAAAAGACCTTTCGCCGAAACGGAAAGACATCATCGCAGAAAACACTTACATATTGGCTTTGGATGGAGACATCGATTTTCAACCTCACGCAGTACATTTATTGGTGGATTTGATGAAGAAAAATAAAACATTAGGTGCTGCTTGTGGAAGAATTCATCCGATTGGTTCAGGAGTGATGGTATGGTATCAAAAGTTCGAATATGCCGTAGGTCATTGGCTCCAAAAAGCTGCCGAACACATGTTCGGTTGTGTGCTTTGTAGTCCTGGATGTTTCTCCCTTTTCAGAGCCAAAGCTCTGATGGACGACAGTGTTATGAGAAAATATACCATGAGATCCCAGGAGGCCAAACATTTTGTACAATACGATCAAGGTTTGTTATCGAATGATCACAAACAATTAGTGCATCAGTCTTCATTCTCATAAAAGCAAAATATTAATGTAATACAAAAGTAACAATTTTTAAAAATTTCATGTCACCATTCACTATCTTGCATATTGGTTCCAATTTTTGACGTGACAACGTCTTATAATTCGATGGAGCCGGCTGCACGCACGAAAAAACATGACTCATGCGGCGTTACCTCGCTCTGAGGCGTTCCATTTAAGGCTTGAAGTGCAAGCGAGAGCGCGGAACGAGCGACAAAGAGGCACAATCGGCCTCCGCGTTCGGCAGCGTTCGACATCTGTCTCTCTCCTACTTGAGTGAGCGATGCGTCCGCGTGGACAGCTGCTATACAATAATACATTTCCATTTACCTCCTTCTCTATTTCCATACAAAATATCTATCAAACAAATAAAATTAAAATTTTCTTTTGAAAAATGAAACCATTCCATCAGTATTTTCTTATGACGTTGTCACGTTCAATTATCGTCAGTAAACCGACTTTACAGACAACCGATTTTTTTTTTTCAAACGTAAATAAATTGGTGTCCAGGTGAAGACCGTTGGTTGTGTACTTTGCTTCTTCAGAGAGGATACAGGGTTGAATATTCTGCTGCTTCCGACGCTTATACCCACGCACCGGAAGGTTTCAACGAATTTTTCAACCAGCGTAGACGGTGGATGCCTTCAACTTGTGCCAATATTATGGATTTGATCCAAGACTCCAAAAAAACCATTGCAGTAAACGACAACATATCCCGAGGTTATATATTTTATCATGTAAATTAAATCAGTCAGTTGCATTCTTCCGAATGATTTTTATACAATTACATATGCACGTAGATTGTTCTGATGGTTGGAACTGTCCTGGGTCCTGGGACCTTAATGTTGATGGTAATTGGAGCACTCGTGACCGTGTTTTCTTTTGACCAATACACAAGCCTCAAATGGAACGTAACGCCCCTGATTATTTTCATGATATCTTGCTACTATTGCAAAGCTAATATTCAGGTAAGGGTAATTAAATCATAAAAACGAAATCTTAATTCTTCAACTGGTAATGCTTTGGAGATATCTCTTATTTTGCGCATTCTTTATCCGAAAATTGTAGACTAAAATAAAATTTAACTGAAGAATGTATTGTTCATCAAAAATGTCTTACACCAACGTGTTAAGCCCAGTTTCTTTTATTACTTAATTCGACGACAATCTACATTTGTGCAGTTAATAATGGCCGCCATTATAAGTGGTGTTTACGCGTTGGTAATGATGGCCGTCCTTGTTGGTGTCACACTTCAAATATTCGAAGATGGCTGGTTGGCCCCCAGCAACCTCTTCCTAATGCTTGTGGCAGGAGAATTCATAATAGCGGCTATACTCCATCCCAAGGAATTTGGATGTCTTCCACACGGCCTCATTTATTTCATCACTATCCCCTGCATGTATCTTATCCTGGTCATTTATTCCGTTTTCAATTTAAACAACATTTCTTGGGGTACCAGAGAAGTCACCGTTGTGCCCAAAGCGGCAGCGGATGCGGTAAGTGACACAATAATCTATTTCCGAAAATATCTTAACTTTCGTGTGACATGTTAGGAAGAGGAAAAAGACCAGAAAAAAGACGAGAAGAAAGAGCCCACAAATCTCAAAGCAATGCAAAACAGAATATTCGCTTTGTTCGGCAAAGGTGATGATAACGCAGGCTCTTTCGAATTTTCCTGCGGCGGTTTGTTCAAAATACTCTTATGCGCTTATCGGAAGGAGTCCCCGGAACAAGTAGAACTGGCGCTTCTGAACAATAACATCAAAAAAATGGAAAGCAAGCTCGAAGGAATCGAGAAATTAATACTCCTCGAACCGGATGAGAGACAACCAACACAACAGAATCGATCATCTTCAATTACATCCAGGAGACGAACTACAATTATGGAAGGACTCAAGTAAGTGCCCAAAATCCCTAGCATAACTTATCCATAAATTACTATTTATGCAGATCACTGTTAGTACATCGTCTACATTATTTGTTTTAAACCGCATTTTGACAAGCGCAATTGCAATTAATTTAATATGAAAAATAAGCGAATTTTGTTAAATTAAAATCGCTTTTTAAAAAATTTATTCCTGATGAATATAATCAGCAGAATATTAAAATATTAATTCATCAATAATAAATTCATAACGTAAAAAGTGTCAAGGCATCACCACAAGGTGAGTGAAAACGACAAACCGCTTCACCACCTTGCCTTAATCATTTCTCATACTTTTGAATTCGACTTCCTTAGTCTTCGATCTGCCTCCCTACGATTATTATTATTGACAACGCCTTTTAAACGATTTCTAATTGGCCTACTAAGTAGGTAGTAGGAGTTAGCTTGCAAATAATTTAGATGTACTAACTTAATATTTACTAGTGACCTAATTAGAATTTATGAATACTATGTCGATATATATACATCCCGAACTTTAACTATGACGTTTCTACTTCTACAGAGGGGAGTTATCAAAGGTGATAGAAAATGCGGAAGACCAATATTCACTGATAAGCGAAAGTCAAATATCAGAGAAAACAATAAGCGAACCAAACAGTTGGATGTACGAGGAAAATCTAGGAAGGGGAGAATTCGGTTGTATTTCGACAAAAGAAAAGAATTTCTGGGAAGGTCTGATTGACAAGTATCTACACCCTATCGAAGACGACAAGGTAGAATAAACATATACATATATTGTACGATACATCCCAAAACAAACAGATAATCTGGTTTACAGGAAAAAGTGGCCAAGGACCTGAAAGACTTACGCGACAAAACCGTTATGATGTTCCTCATGGTAAACGCGCTTTTTGTTGTTGCGATTTTCCTACTCACGCTCAACAAGGACTTAATACATATCGACTGGCCCTTTGGAATAAAATACAGCTTTCGATACGTCGATGTTACCGGTGACGTAAGTATTAATAAATATATACATGAGTAAATAAAGATCTAATTGTCCTGTTAATTGATAGATAAATTGTTGTCAATAAGCTAATGGCAAATTACAAGTTTTTTAAAGCTCCGTTCGGTTCTTTTGTATGTTAGGAATTTGTCTTTGTAGATTCAACTGACCAGAACGTTTTTACAATTGGAACCCATTGGTCTTGTGTTCGTCGTTTTCTTCGGTTGTTTAATGGGTCTTCAGTTTGTTGGAATGCTTTTGCATAGATTTAGCACATTTTGTCAGATTTTGTCTAGTACACCAGTTCCGATTTGCAGTTTCAGAGGATCGGTAAGTTATCCTTTTTAATAAACAATTATTAGCAGGATTTTGATACACGCATTTAGGCTATTATAATTTTATTTCATTCACTATTTCACGCCAGAAAGCTGAACTCACCGATGAAGAATTATTAGAAAAGGATCCCGTGAGGATGGTAAAAAGACTTATCAAATTAAGAGGGGTCGATGACGATGACGACGATAAAGAAGATAGAGATGTCGAAAAGAGAAAGACTATAATCGGATTGGCGAAAGATGGTGCTAAACCTGACGAAGCCACAACTACAGATTTAACACGTGCTTTTAACAGAAGATTAACCAAGTTTAGAAATTACGGTAAGAACCTATTATAAAGAATAATACTCAAAAACAAATTTCAATCATTAACAAATGACAATTGACACTTTTAAGAATAAAAAACCTTGTTCTTTTTTATCTTTTAATTACAGAAGGTAACGATGCAACCGGAAGAAAATCGATTGCTTTTGCTATTGACAAACGCAGATCGACTGTTGCCAATCTAGGTAGGCCTTCAGTATCTTCAATTAAAGTAAGAGCAAGACAAAGTCACGTAAATTTTGGTTATGAACCAGAGGGAGAAACCAATACATAAACTTAGTACCTATAAATTGTAAATTATCTACAAAGAAATAAATTTCTATACTTATACAACTTCATTTTAAATTTTTAAATGCTAAGTATCTTTGGATATCAGAAAGTAACCATCCGATTTCTAAAATTCTTTTGCTAATATTAAGAATGAATCTTTAGAATGGACATATTATTCCCTTAAAATAAAATAAATTCACAAATTAAAAATACTTAACGAAATGTACTCTCTTTTTTATAAAGATTTATCTCTCACAAGAAAAACTTCGATTAAACTGAAATGTCCTAATCAAAGTAAATACAGAAAGTAAATTAAAAAAGTTGGTACATTCTTTTTACTTTTTTTCTTTGACTATTATCACCAACAAACACACCGACTATTCAAAATAAATGCAAACATCAAACATGCCGAAAACATTATTTCGCAATTAAAGATTGATAATCAAAATAAATTTAAAATACTGACACAATTGTTTTACGTTTTCCATAAACTAACATGTACGTTACAACAGACGTTTTGACAAACGTATCTAATTAATTTTTATCAGTTACAAGTGGTTCACAGTTTATTCAAGTATTAGACCTTGTCTGAAAAAAAGCCTTTATCATGATGTACAAAATCGAAAGTCGGAAAAGTCTAAAAATGGTAAAGCTTAATTTCGAGATCAATTTTTCACTCTGCATAATTAATTACCTTGTTATTAAAATTGGATTTTTTTTTAACAGAAACTTTATTGATTGAAGATGTTCATGTACAGAACAGAAGAATAACATGTTTTTACACCTTTTCTTTTGAGTGTTTCAAATTTGTCAGCATCATCTTTAATCAACAAAGAATTTTCGATTGTAATAAAAACGATAACAAAAACAATGCATTTTCTTTGCCACAATCGCAAGTTCATTCCCATAATGATTACACAGATTCTTTGAAGTACCAATTGATGTCTTTACGCATGTTTTTTTGTTGTTTGTGTTAAATTTAAGTTTAGTTAGTTCTCGATAGATCGATAATAATTTCTGATTGAAATCCATTCAGTTTCTAATCGGCCCGTTGTACATCATTCGTATCATATGGGCAGTATAGTTATTTCCTTTTCTAATTACAAACGGATTTCTTTGTAAGTCATATGAAGGCTTTTAAGTGAATTTCTTTGTTACCGTTAGCACAGTAATTTATGAAAAATTGTCTGCCTTTCATTGGCTAAATTTAAAAAATTCAGTGTGTTAAAATTGAAAAAACAAAAACAGATATTTATTTATGAAGTTAACGTAATAAATCTTAAGAATTAAGGCTACAGGCAAAAAAATATTGATATATAATACAAAGGCGGAATCTGGATAATTGTTTTGTCAATAACCAACTGAATTTTAATTTGAATTTACTTTTCTTAATCTTATCTTCCCCCTAATGATTAACTTAATAGTTAATAAATCAATTTATTAAAAGACAATAGTTTCCCTAAACAGTAGGTTTTAGTGCACCAACACTGTACACAGCATGTAGATACCACTTTAGAGTATGAGTGAATTTGGTTTTTCAAAATATATCCTAAAAGGTACGTTGTTCATACATTACGATCCATTAAATCAAAAACTTTTCGGTTTTAAAGCAAAATCGATTCAAGCCAAAGTGATATAGTTCAGTAGAAATTTTCGAAAACTTTTAGCGGAAACTTTTCTTTTGTCTCTTTAAACCAATCAAAGTAATTTATACGTATTCACATCCATATAACAATTTATAATTTAACTATTTCAATCCTTTTGTAGACACTGGAAGGTACAATAACTTTTTGTAAAGAGAAATATTAAATGTTATTTTGTTTTAAACTCTACCTTTCTGTAGTACTTACGAGGGCTATTTTTTTTAACCTCTGATGAGCTACAATAAAGCACAATGAGTTTATTACTAAAAGTTCTTAGTAGTTGAGAAAGTGTTTTTAACCCAGCTGTACTTTCAGTTGTTGAATAATGTGAAAATTGCTGGACTAGTCGGGTTTTTCATTCATGACAATGCATGAGTATCAACACGTCTTCTCAGACAATTCAAATAGGGTGCTTTCGGCCATCCACCGTATAGTCCACAGTGAGCACCGAGTGATTTTCACCTGTTTCGACAATTAAGGGCACAGTTGGATTGACAATGTTTTGCCAAAAATGAAAAACTTAAGAACGAAGTCAAGACGTGTCAGCTCTCTCTAGCAAACGTCCAGAAAAATAAATATGTAAATCACTACTCATTTCTTACTTATAAAATTTTTTTGTTACGTTTTTTTCTGAACCATAGTCGAATTATATCAATGAAAGAAAAAGTACACAGTGCAAAATAAACCTCTTGAGTATGTTATTTATGTACATTCTCGTGTGTTTCTTATCTTTCAAAATAATTATAGAGTGTACGGCCGTTAAAACAATTTGAGTTTATCGTCTTTTTATCAAATTACAATGAATTCAATATTGTAGGGTTATCGGGTGATTAAAAGCTTTCGCTTATAAGATTAAATCTCCCTCTGTCTATAAAAATGCATGCGGGGAAATAATTGTAAATTCCAAGGTATAATGCCATAGCTAATATACCTGCATCATGTAAAAATGCCGCTGAATTCTAGGTAATCGAAGGTTAAAAAAATAGCCCTCGTATAAAAAAGGTTTTAAAAAACACCTTGAATTCGAATATCGAATAATATTCGATATTGATCTATTATTAAGATAAAAAAATTCTAATTTACTAAGTAATTTATCTATCATCTTTACTGATTCTGTGTAAGATCGTACCTAACAGGAAATTAATAGTTTACAGATTATATTTCTAATAATTTTATCTCTTGATAACGAAAATGAGAAAGCGAAGACTAATAAAATTTGAAGATGATAAGGAGCAGGAACGTCTTCATGATAACACGTGAGTTTTCTGAAGGATCAACAATAAAAAAATTGTGTTCCCTTTCTTCCCCTTCAGCTTATGATAATAATAATAAGAAATCAGACTCAAATAGGAGCAAAAAGATTTATTATAGTAAAACCAATACCGACGTTTCGCCACTGCATTGAGACGTTGTCAAGGTAAGTTTTTAACCTTAAATCTTTTTGCCCCTATTTGGCTCCGATTTCTTATTTTTTAAAAATGTTACGAATGCATTATCTTATTAATTAATACATATCTATCTATAATTTCATTTTGAAGTCGAACTAACAAAAAGAACAACCTCTGGGATCTATTCAAGAATGTCCCTGCTAAAAAGCTGTCCAGTTTAATGGAAGAAAACACAACATTAGAAAATTCCATTGTTGCTCTAAAAATTGCAACGTGTATTGTAACGTTTGCTTGTGTACTGGGTGGAGCTGTGATATCTAAAGGAACTCTACTTTTTATGACATCCCAGATCAAACCTAATCAATCTCGCATATACTGCAATAAAGATCTAGGTAAATAATTCACAAATACCACAACACTTTTAAGAAAACGTGTTGGTGTTTCGCCCACTTATATTGAGAGTATTTTCAACGCGAATTTTGCGTTTTTTAAATGTCTTGTGATATTTTGGATAAATCCTTTTGCTTTTACATCTGTTACATACCGATATTTCTGTTTAATTTTTTTAATTTTCATACCGGACTCAAAACCGCCACCTTTATATTTAAATGTATCTCTAACTTCTCTTTATTAGATGCCAATACTCTACATCATTCTGTAAAATCTTTTATCCCTAAATATCTTACCCTAATGCTATCCTGCCTTTAATAATGTTAGAATAAATTGAATGAAGCACTTGGATTATTTCATATTTAATAATAAATAGATGTAAATTAAGAAATCATCAAGAATAAAAATTATACTAACGATAAGATGTTTAGACTACAAGAGTATCTTAAATATGAAATCGGTCTCTCATTAGTTATAATTTTTGTAGATAAAATGGTTTTGTTAATTTCTAAAATTTCGTAATATCACCTAACACATTACATCCTCTCTGTGATCACAACATTTTTATGTTGCTTATATTATTTCAATCGTAGAATTATTTTGAACTACTTTTTTGCATTTTCTAAAATCAAACCTATTCTAGACGTCTCTGGACAATTCACGGCTACAATTTCGGATACAGAAAGGGTGGCTTGGATATGGATGTTAATGTTTGTGTTTTTCGTACCTGAATTGGAAACTTTTTTACATTCTATATACGTTTGCATCTTCAGGAGCTGGCATATGCCCACAAAAAGGGATTTTATAATTATTTTTATATCAGAAACTCTGCCAACTATCGGGACAGCGATGTTTTTATTTTGCATTTTGCCAGAAATCGATGTCGTAAAGGGGGCAATGTTAACTAACGCCGTTTGTGTGATTCCTGGCATTGTAGGTAAGAAAATTTTCGTTAAGTATCATCACAACAAGAAAATGTCAAGATTAAAACGAAGAAATTCCCCCTTTTATGTAGCGATTGTCATATATAAAGATAACTCTTTATTGCCTTTGTTGCACGAAAAGCAAAAAATACAGTTAAAGAAGTAACACAATCAATTACACATTTACTACGTGAAAAACTCATAAGAAATTATCAAAACTAATATATTATGACTATTTATTACTGCTATCGTCATTTTTATTACAAAATGATAAACATCCAAACGCCATCGCTCAATACAATAAACTTTTTCCTGGTATAATTACAAGAAAGTAACATTAAACAAATAAATATGACAACGGGAAAAATGAATTCAAAAATAACTTAATTCCGTTATAATCATGATCAAGTATTAATAAATTTCTGACAATCTCTTGCGACTGCAATCATTTTCTTGAGTAGTACTAGTACTATTTTTCCTAGGACTTTTAAGTTCCCGAGCAAGATGGAACACAACGAAAGTTTTATACATCCTGGACATCGCAAGCGTGTTAGCACAAGTGTCAGCATTAGTCATTTGGCCATTGATTTCGGACAACAAAACCCTATGGTTAATTCCGGTTTCCCTGGTTTTAATATCATGTAGATGGTGGGAAAATTTCGTGTCGGAAGATTCCCCTGTGCCTTTCATAAAAACATGTGCACAAAATACGAAGGAATTCAAAAACGACAGATATTTTGCTTACGTCTTCGTCTCGGTCTGGAAATGCCTTTTATTCTTCTGTACCGTAATCATTATCATTTATATTCAAGAAAAAAAGATCGCTTTTCTTTTCACGGAATTCGACACAGCCTTCTCAGACCACTATATCAATATAAACCAGGTAATAACTTAGACACTATAATATTGGAATAAGGAATGAAAGTATCTTAATGAAGTATCAAATTTCCCTTTTAAGATACCATATTCGCCAAATTGGGGCAAAAACTGTTTTATTGCCACAAGCAACATCTACGTTTTACCTTTCATGTATCAGTTTTCTTCTAGGTAGATTGTTAGATAAACATTCTTTGGAGATATTGTTTGCATTACAACAAACACCTATTAAAATAATAATCATTTTCTCATCCATCCGAAGCTTCTACATCGTCATCATCTTAAGATCGTCAGTCCTAAGACTGGTTGAACACATACCTTCACTCTTTCCAATCTTAAGCTAATCTTCGCATTTCCCTAAAACTAGAACATCCCACATCCTTAACTATCTATTTACGAACAGTAATGTAATCTAAGTCTACCTGTACACCTCTTAACTCCTGTTTCTGCCTCTAATATGTCTCTGACTAGCCCTTCAAGCCTGAGAAGGTGTCCTACCAACCTATCTCGTCAATTTCTTATTGACTTCCCTGTTTTCGTATTCATTTTAATATCTCTTCATTTCTAATCATCTCTATCCACAGTATCCTCATCATTCGCCAGTAACGCCACATTCCGAACACTTCTAACCTATCCATTTCCCCCGCGCCCATAGGCCATGTTTTGCACCCATACAGCGCCGCCCTCCAAACATACACCATTAATAATCTCTTTCGAATCTAAATTGACCGTTCGTGAGCATAGAAGTGACTTCTTTTAATTGAAGGCGACTCGACCCTGCTTTATCCTCTGCTTTATATTCCTACTACTGCTTCTACATAACAATAAATAACTAACTAACACTATAACCTGAGGAAGTCCTATACATTAGAAGTGAAACGTAATTATTTGCCCCGATTTGGCTCTGATATTTATAAGTATGATTTATTAACTATTAGCGACTTTGTCAGTTTATCTCACAAAAAATCGTTAAGTAAGTGATAAACCTCTTACGGTTTCTTAGATTCTACCTGTAATTGAAGACACTTCAGATTTAAGTTTGGCACAAATCGTTATAAGAGAAGAAAAAACACACGTGAATGCTGATTATATGGCTCCAGTTTGGGTTTTCGTTTTTAACATACTTGGATCATACGTATGTTATATTTTCGGAAAATTCGCTTGCAAAATAATGGTACAAACATATTGTTACGCCTTTCCGATCAATCTAACCGTGCCAACGCTCATTACAGCACTGGTTGCATTCTGTGGAGTTTACAGTATCGATGAATGTGCTTTTAAAAATGCAATTCCTCAATATTTGGCTTTCAACAGGTATAAAAATTTTCATTTACATAAACGTTCTCGATAGGACAGGTTCTTATATCACAAATAATTTTTAGTCCCCCGCAGTATTTTCTGCAAAACTTTATCGAAAGCAAATTCACTTGTATGTGGTTGATCTGGTTGCTTTCACAAATCTGGATTTCCTTCCACATTTGGAAACCTCGAACCGACAAAGTTGCAAGAACAGATAAATTATTTGCAAAGCCTTTGTACGATGGGGTTTTCATCGATCAATCTCTTGGGCTTAACAGAAAAAGAAACTACAAATCGATAACGGAAGTGAAAAAAGAATTGTCGGACAGTAAGTCCAAATTACTTCTTACACCTTCTGCCATTTACTGATTGGTTGTAAGCTTCTTTCTGCAGTGATCCATGGAATTTTTCTCTTCTTAACGGTGAAATCTTCAGGGGATTGATAGAGGCCACCCCAAAACAGCTCGAAAAGAAGTTTACAACCAATTCTCTTTTCACTTTCACTCAATAAATGAAAATACTTCTCTTAGATGACAACAAAGATTCATCTCCGTCCATCCAGGAGGAGACCACAAGAATTTACGCATGTGCTACCATGTGGCACGAAACTACCGAAGAAATGATGGAATTTTTGAAATCAATCTTCAGACTTGACGAAGACCAATGTGCCAAGAGACTCGCCAAAAACTATCTGGAAGTTGACATCCCCGATTATTTCGAATTAGAAAGTAAGTCTCTACTTGTAGAGGTGAAATGGGTAAAGGCTGGATTTAATAAAATTCACACTATCCTTAGTTCAGTCCTTGAGTAAGACATTCATATCTTTCAAATTATATTGTACATTTAATTTATTACAGCTCATATATTTTTCGATGACGCCTTTGTAAGAATATCCGTGGATGATAATAATCCCACTGTTAACGAATGGGTAAGTCAACTTGTGCAAGCCGTAGATAAGGCTGCCTCCGAGGTACACAAAACGGATCTTCGAATAAGACCACCGAAGAAATACATTACACCTTATGGAGGAAGACTGGAATGGACGCTTCCAGGAAAAACGAAGATGATTGCTCACCTCAAAGACAAAGCTAAAATTCGACCCAAGAAGCGATGGTCACAAGTGATGTACATGTATTATTTGTTAGAGCACAGGTCAGGATGCACCTCATCATTGTTTGATCAGTTAAATACTTAAGCGTCCTTCAGGTTAATGGAAAGAAAAGACCTTTCGCCGAAACGGAAAGACATCATCGCAGAAAACACTTACATTTTGACTTTGGATGGAGACATGGATTTCCAACCCCAAGCAGTTCATTTATTGGTGGATCTCATGAAGAAAAATAAGAAGGTAGGTACTGCTTGTGGAAGAATTCACCCTACTGGCTCCGGAGTGATGGTAGAGTGTCAAAAGTTCGAATACGCCATAGGACACTGGCTTCAAAAAGCCGCCGAACATATGTACGGTTGCGTGCTCTGCAGTCCTGGATGTTTCTCCCTTCTCAGAGCCAAAGCAGTGATGGACGACGATGTTATGAAAAAATATGCCATGAGATCGAAGAAGGCCACGCATTTTATACAATGTGATCAAGGTTTGTTACCGAAAACAAAAAGTCAGCGGAAACTGTTGATGTAGCTTCAATTGTTTAGAAAAACAAAAATTGAAATACAAATGTAACAATTACCAAGTACATAAACAAAATTTTATTACTACCGTCAACTATTTCCATTCCAATTCTTCGGGAATACTTATAAATAAATATTTTTGCACTTTGCTATTCAGGTGAAGACCGTTGGTTGTGCACTTTACTCCTTAAGAAAGGATACACGGTTGAATATTGTGCAGCTTCAGACGCCTACACTCACGCACCAGAAGGATTTAACGAATTTTACAACCAACGTAAACGATGGATACCTTCGACTTTTATCAATATTCTTGATCTGATTCAAAACTCCAAGAAAACCTTTGAAATAAACGACAACATATCAAGAGGTTACATAATCTATCATGTAAATTAAATCACGCAATTGCATTCTCCAAATAATTTTTATACAAATATGTGTACAGATTATCATGATGGTTGGAACTGTCCTCGGTCCTGGGACTTTGGTACTCATGGTAACTGGGGCTTCCGTCACCACATTTTCTGTTGACCAATACACAAGTCTCAAATGGAACGTTATTCCTTTGATTATTTACATGGTGGTTTGCTACTACTGCAAATCGAATATTCAGGTAAGGACTACATTCACACCCCTTTTATGAAGTGGTGCACTCTTTTTTTATTAAATCATTAGTTAAAGATGGCATCAATTATGAGTAGTGTTTACGCGTTGGTAATGGTGGCAGCTTTAGTTGGCGTTGCTCTTCAAATGTTCGAAGATGGTTGGTATGCTCCTAGCAACTTCTTCGTGCTGTTGATGGGAGCAGAACTTCTAATGGCCGCTGTACTCCATCCCAAGGAGTTCAGATATCTTTCTCACGGTCCCATCTATTTCATTAGCATTCCCAGTATGTACCTGATCCTGGTCATTTATTCCGTCTTTAATTTAAACAACGTTTCTTGGGGTACCAGAGAAGTCACTGTTGTACCTAAAGCTGGTACTGATGCGGTAAGTGGGTGCCACAATATTATTTTTCCAAAAATATCTGATTTTTATTTGGAAAGGTAGCTAGAGAAAAAATACGAAAAGGATCTGCCCAAAACTCACAAAAATTTTCTAAGCCAAATATTCGGTAAAGGTGATGGTACCACGCAATCTCTCCAATTTTCATGTGGCGGTTTGTTCAAAACACTAACACTAAAAGACAATAATATCAAAAAACTGGAAAGCAAGCTAGAAAGCACCAGGAAAATAATACCCCTGCAACCAATACAATCGAATCGATCATCTTCAATAAGATCTAGGCGACGAACTACGATTACTAAAGGACTCAAGTGAGTACCTAAACTACTAAGCGGAATCGAAAGATTTTCAACTGAAATTATTTCGTTTTTATTTCAGAGGGGAGTTATCAAAAGTTTTAGAAAATGCAGAAGACCAATATTCACTGATAAGCGAAAGTCAAATATCAGAAAAAACAATAAGCGAACGAAACAGTTGGATGTATGAGGACAAGTTGGGAAAGGGAGAATTCGGTTGTATTTCGACAAACGAAAAAAATTTCTGGGAACGTCTGATCGAGAAATATCTCCACCCTATCGAAGACGACAAGGTAGAATAAACAAATACATTACGCGATATATCCCAAAACAAAAAAAATATTATATTTTGCAGGAAAAAGTGACAAAAGACCTGAAAAACTTACGTGACAAAACCGTTTTGATGTTCCTATTGATAAACGGACTTTTTATTGTTGTGATTTTCGTGCTCACACTCAATAAGGATTTGATACAAATCGATTGGCCCTTGGGAATAAAATACAACTTTGTATACGACGACGCTACCGGTAACGTACGTATTAATAAAAATATTTATTTATTATATTTATATTTTCTGTTCCTAAGTAAAATGTCGGTAATATTGATTTTTTTATTGATTATGAAGCTATTATTCAGTGACAATAAGGAGATGGATATATTTTTTTTAAAATCAAGGAAATTACAATTTTAAACGCACTGTTTCTGTTGTATTGCAGATTCAACTGACCACAACATTTTTGAAACTGGAACCAATTTCTCTTATATCCGTAATTTTCTTCGGATGTTTAATGGGTCTTCAGTTTATTGGTATGCTTATGCACAGATTTACCATATTCTGTCAGATTTTGTCAAATACATCGGTTCGAATTGGCCGTTTCCAAAAATCGGTAAGTTTTTTTTCTATATAAACCAGCTTAATACGAAAAACAAACTCCATCCCAGAAAACTGAACAATTGCCAAAAATCTTAACACATAATTCATTCATTCGTTCAAAGCAGTTGGTGAAATTTCCGCTAGGATTACTATATTCAGGTACCTAATTCAGTCACCAAGACTTACATTTTCTCTTTACATTAGAAAAATAAGCAAACCGACGAAGTATTATTAGAAAAAGATCCCGTAAGGATGGTTAAAAAGCTTATCCAATTAAGAGACGTCAAAAAAGAAAAAGATATAGAAAGGAGAAACACTAGTATCGAAAGGGTCAAAGATGGTGTCAAATCTGATGAAGCTACAACTACAGACTTAACACATGCCTTCAGTAGACGGTTAGCCAAATTTAGAAGCTACGGTACAAACCTATAAAGAATAAGTACTATTTAAAGATAAATGACAATCGTTAACAAGTGACGATTGACATTGTTGCGAATAAAAACACTGTTTAAAGATGTTCTTATTTGTTTTAATTACAGAAGGTAACGACGCAACTGTAAGAAAATCGATTGTTTTTGAGATTAACAAATACAGATCGACCATAGCCCATCTGAATAGTCGTTCAGTAACTTCGGGAAATGTAAGATCGCGTCATACCCATGTCAATTTTGGTTAGTAATCAGAAGGTGAAACAGTTAAACAAGTAAATTGTCAATTTTATATGTACTGCCCGAACTAAATAATTTATGCGCCAAGACATAAATGTCAATATAATGCTTTTATTTATTATCTGCACATATATGTACCTACACTACGATTCAAGAAATTTAAAAAAATTATAGCAGAAATTCTGCAAAACAGTTGCCTTATACTTTTTTATTTAAGTTTGTACCGTTATAAGATCATCGGAACTAATGTAAATAATTTGATCATTAAGCATATGTATAAATAGTTTATGTAAGACATGCTGATACTCAATAAATTAAATGTACTCACATGAAAACTTTAAATGGGTCATTTATGGTATATGATTTATACATATAATGGGCTCTAAAGTATATAAACGATATAAGATACCTTCCGGCACTTTTTTGTAAAATATATAAAATAATTTAAAAATATAAAAGCGCNATTAGAAGATGGAAAGTAGTTACTAAGTAGTAACAAGCGAAAATTATATAAAAAAGTACGTAGAATCTCATGGTGCTAACGGTTTTCGAGTGCAATGTCAAATAAGGTACTTTCCGACAATATTTCTGCTATGTTATATAAAATAATTTAAAAATAGAAAAGCGCACGTAATATTACTGGGGTGCAAGGTAGTTACTAAGCATCGTTTTTTTCGTGAGATGTAATATAAGGTACTTTGCGGTATTTTTTCTGATAAAATTTATAAAATAGTTTAAACATCTAAAAGCGCTCGTATAATTATTAGGAAATTGAAGGTATTTAGGTACTAAGTACTGAGAAGAAAAGAATCTCATACATAACAATACATCTACAATATTATGCGCTTTAGATGTACAACAGGAATGTTTTGCACTACTAATCAATTCTACAATTTCCCGGTTCACCATTTGAATTCAAATGCAGCAACCATTATGTTTTGTTTAATCTGTAGATTTTGTAGTAGATGACGCCACTTATTTTCGGTCATAAAAGAACAAGAATGCACGCAACCCAACGTGCACCTCCAACAGCATTTTGTTATTTTTTTAAATAATAATCAAATTTAAGCAAACTTTTAAAAATGTTTTATGTAATCTTTCGACCTCTTTACCTCTTTAAATTATATTTACATGTAATTAGTAGTTAACATTCAAATTAGGGACTAGGGATACTTCAATTTTAAAGTATCTAGAAAGTATATATTGGCTATACTGTAAACCGTTTAAAAATATTTTCAAATAACTTGTCTATGCAAACAAATCGTTTGCAATTGGTCACTTAAAACTGTTTTAAATAACTGTGAAATGGTGGAATTTGTTGTGCCTAAAAGCAAAGAAATGATTTCCTCAAATAATCAAGACCAGCATCCATCATTAGTTCGTCACCTCAGAGGTCATTACCACGAATTATCTGATTTGGCTTTTCACCCAAATAATGGAAAAAAAATAGCAACGTGTGGTACTGATAAATACCTTTTGTGGTGGACTCTTGGTGGCTCTGTGAAGTGTTACAAATCTGAAGGTCATACAGACAAAATAAACTCCTGTGCATACTCTCCAAACGGCCGATTTATTGCCACTGCTTCAAATGATGATACGGTTAGAATTTGGGTTCCAACCATACTCGGCAAGTGTACCTTTTTTAAAGGGCACAGTTCTGCAGTTCAGTGTGTTTCCATATCACCCACTAATACTGAAATAATAACTGGATCTAATGATAAAACCATAAAAACGTGGAACCTGCAAAGAAGGATATTTATAAGCTCATTAATTGGACACACCAACTGGGTGAGGTCTGTCAAGTATACCTCCTGTGGAAGAACCGCAGTATCTTGTGCTGATGATAGGAGCCTGCAAGTGTGGGATGTTAGGAATGGAATGTCTGTTCATACATTCCACTTTTTAGACATTAGTGGCACTTATGTGTCAATACATCCTAATGATGTCTCTCTAGCTGTTGCAATGAATAATGGAAGTGTACGAATTTATGATATAAGGAATCACCAGCTACAGCAACAGTATGTTGATATTCATCAGGAAACTAACTGTGTTGACTGGCACCCAAGTGGACTGTACTTATTAAGCTGTGGTACTGAAGGGTCTTCAAAACTAATTGATGTTATGGAAGGCAGGCCACTTTACACCATAAGGGGGCATAGAGGCTCTATAAATAAAGCAAAGTTCAATCCTGATGGCGAATATTTTGCTACTGGTGGAACTGATAGTATTTTAATGGTTTGGAGAACTGGCATTTTGATTAATTGAATAACTATATATTTTTGTGACAATATTAAAGTAATGAATATTCTAGCCGAGCTAACCGTAAGTTATGATCCTATAATTACTATTATTATTTAATAATGCAGCTTTTTTATTTTATTTTTTGGAAATAGAAGACTTTCTTAAAATTAGTGTTATTTATTAAAATCAAAAAAATTCAGTCAGTAGATATTGGATTAAGAAGTTTCCAAGTATAACAAAAACAACCTTACATTTCTAATTTAAATGGAATATTAAATTTAATATGAAAATATTCAAGATAATACAAATGCTAGATGTAATGTATTTCAATTATGATTGCTGGCTTTGTGCCTCTTGGGATGCTTTATAAACAATATCTAGGGCTTGCGTAATTGTTCTTACATCTCCTTCTATAGTTTTTGCCCAGTTTTCGACATCACCCAACTCTTTCAAAGAACTGCTGAAGGATTCTATTAAATTAACCCACTGTTGTGTCTGTTTAGAGAAATTTGTGGCACTGACATGCAACTGCTTAGCTTCTGCATCCAATTTCTTCTGGTTTAAATAGGCTTGAGCAACCCTAAAAATAATCTTAGGATAGAGATGCAGATAACACTCGTTAATTATACTTTACCCAACATTTAAGTGGTCAACCAGAGCTTGTGTTAATTCACTTGCTGCTTGGACAGCCTCTTTTCGTTTTATTTCTGAAGACATAAAAACTAATAAATATTTCATATATGCAAATTAAGCAATCAAAACTTGCCCTGGGCTTCCTTTCTTGCAGACTGTCTGGCCTGGTGTTCTTTTACCATAGAAGATAACATCTTGATATTAAATGTTAGTTTTCATCAAAAGTTTCTTATTACAAATTCAAAAAAAACTCAGTTTTGTTTTTTAAAAGCAAAACCAATTATAAACAGTAAACTTAACCTTAGTTGTCAGTTACCAGCTTGTCATTTCAGTTGCAATGGAACTGTATAAATTGTGGTAGCAGTAAAAACAGTAGTGATTACAGCAGCTAGTATATACTTCCTCTTTTAAATTGCGGCACATTAACGTTAAATTAAAAAATTGATTTACTTTTTTGGAAAACAATGTACTAATTATAAAGTCATGTGTCATTGCACCATTATAAGGACTGTAGAAGTGCCAAAAAAATGTGATAATTTAGTCTATCTGCACCGCCCTAGAAATATGTGGCAGTAATCCTTTATATTTTCAAAATGCATTACAATAAAATGAAATAGTTGCTGTGACAGTACATCTACGCATTACTGTAACAACTAAAAACAGAAATGCATTTTAATTACGAACCTGTTTATTACGTAAATATCAATTTGATAAAATGACGCACTGGAGCCGTACGTCTTCAGGTCAAATATAAAATAGTGCAAAACAAATAGAAACGCCTTCTATTCACACTAGACCAAAGGAAGAACTGAAATCTGCACGCCATGAAAAAAAAAATATATAAAATAAATGAAATTACCGACTTTTTATGTACAATATGATGGCACTAACACTGTGTAAACGTGAACTACTACGGCCAGATACTTAGTTTATGATTTATTAATTATTTATCATTATTATTACCATTATTATTAATCGTATTAACAAAATGTACAGTTTAAAATAAGTGTCTGCCGACTATAGTAATAAATTATTTAAGGCGCCAATGAAAAAAAAAAANTTGTTATAAAGGGCCATAGACAGAATAAGTTTAGAATTAAAAGCACTTTCTTAATATACTATTTTTTTAGCAGGTAAAGATCACATCGTGCAAAATAAATAAGTTAACACAAAAAAAAATCTAGGTAAATAAGATACAATTTTAAACTAAATTATGTATGTTACAATATTAGAATGTTAAAATCTAATATTAAATGACTTCATGAAGTGTGAAATTATTGAATTAGTGACTAGTACGAATTGTTAAAAAGGAAAAAAACGCAAAAAATTCTAGAGGTGGTGAGAAGGAAGACCCAAAGCAAAACGACTAAAAATAAACTTGAAAATGTGTCAGGGGGCTTCAAAAAAACGCAGCAGACATAGTAACAAATTTATTTACTTAGGTTTGGAATACATTTACATACAATTTCACTTATAGCTGTTTATAAATGCAGACAGGTTTTCCTTTTAGAATCGTTTCGCTTGTAGCAAATGTTTCCAAACAGCCATATTACACTAGCAATAATAACGTTGCTGGACAGTCTTCATATTCAAAATCAATAAATTACGAATAGAAATGTGTATAATGGACAACCATAAAAAATATCACTCAAAATAGACCACACCTCTGATAAATTTTGAATTACGTATTACTTCTTTTTTTTCTCTTCGTAATAAATACTGAATAATAATACTGCGGTTGATGCAAAAATAAAAATTAATACAAAAACATTCAAAAAATATCACAGATTAAAATTCAGACGAAATAAAAATACGTCCATTGCACACGTTTAAAAACATTTGCAACGTGTAACAAATCAGTCCAGTATAATTTATTTTAATAGTTGCAGGGCAAGATAGCACGTTGTAAAATTCAATTAACACTAATTATCAGACTTTTAAAATAACCCCAGAAAAACAATAGTGGTATACAAAGCCAAGCAAAATTTGGTTTAATACTTGAAAATCGTTACTTGTTTGGAAGGAAATAATAACAAATTAAGAGTGTAATTTATTGCGCTTCTTTTAATTTGGATTAAATCAGTTTATATATTTTTTAAACTCATGCTACTTTTAAGCATAACCAACCCTACGTTTCAGCTCATTGAATACTTCACATAAGTATAATTATGTTGAGATACTTTTTTGATACTACAGGAAAATCAAATGCAATTCTGTGGAACTAAACTAACACTAAACCCCAAAATTCCACACATTAGGAGCATTTAGTAATCTAAAACACGCCTCGGTATCAGAGGTTTCATTCAGTCTCGCGTTTTAGACTTCACAATGTTTATGTGGAATTTTGGGTTTTAATGTTTTATTTCGTCTCTTACTAAAGCAGTTTGCAAAATAAATTTAGAGTAATGCTACCTTGCCATAATTAAAAGTAAAAAAGGAAAGACGAAAGAGAGCTAGCACGTCTTATCATTATCTAATTTATTAGCACACACCGTTTATCAACTCTCAGTTAGTACCGCGCCTGATGTAGTCGTTTTGCAATGGGTAGCTACAGTTAGGATTATACACTATGACTGAAGGATGATAGATCAACATACTTTGTTGGATGTAGTCGGGAGTGACTACGAACTGCTTATTACCCCCTCCGCTTCCTCCGCCGCTAATTCCTGTCGTCACACTGTTACTACCTCCGAGGGTTGTGGCGTTCGTCGTTTGCTGAATGACACCCGTGTGCTGTTGCTGAGATGCCTCCATGTTTACCTTCATCGCTTGTAGAAGAGCCGAAGACTGTTGACCATTGACTAGCACTTCACGAACTGAGGAAGCCTCGCTCGTCTGTAAAGACACTCTCACTTAGTAACAAAAGAGCCCCCATAAATATTAAATTGGAACTACATCAACAATATCCTCGACCCCCTCTCCCCAAAATTATCTTTTCTTCAAACATCTGCAGAATCTCCTTTTCCTTTTTTAATTGCCAAAGTGTTTTTAATTTTCTTTTTTTTTTCTTTTAACATACACAAGTGAAATCATTCTGAAAAGTATTTTAGTTTAATTACTCACCTTTAGCTTTTTTATTGCATCTATTTTTATTACTACTATTTTTTGATATTATCATCAGTAAAAGCAATTATTAAACATGATAATTGTTGCAGCTTCTTCAGATGTTTTTCATGAAATTGATGTATTGCTATTTATAATGAATTTCCTAGATTACCAATTCATTAACTATTAAAAAAAGATTATTCCCAATTTCACCGTCAGTTCACACTATTTCTTCCCATTCATGCATTTTGTTAAGAAGTTAGTGAAAAACTGCTTTAGGCATTAATTGATAAGAAAGTTTGATTTTCAAGCGAAACTAAGATCTCTTGCACCTCAAGAAATTTTGTTAATTAATAGCAAAAAGCTAACATCGTATTATTAAAGCAAACCAAAAGCCACAGAATAATTATTTTTTTATTTAATACGTGAGATCAAAAATTACAAAACTAACACACAAAGATGAGGAACAAATGTTTATACAATTGATTAATTTTACAAAAAAAAAGAAATCGTAAAATTTTGTCTGCATATCTTAATTATTAATGGCCTTCACGGTGTAGGTTACCAAGTTATAAAGATTTAACTTAAATTAGTTGCACAAATAATACAAAGGGTTGAACACATAAATAAACATCTACACATTAATGGCAATTAACTAAACAAAATTGAGTCTGACTCCAATTAAAATACAAAAAAAACAACCACGACAAAAATCAGCAAAACAATAAAATACACAAAAAGCTTCAAAACATTTTAAAAAATTAAATACTGTTGGCTCGCTTCTTATTATGTATTTTCGTTTGTGTATTCAATATTTTTTTGGCAATTAACTTTTAATTTGCTAACGTATTCCAAAAATTTTAAAATCAGACTCAACTATGCCTAAAATTATCACAGCTACATCATTAAAAAAATACTAATCATGAACGTGCAAGTTAGCAATTAAAACGATCGGTTTTAAATTTAAAAATAAAAAAAGAATGCAACTGAAGACCAATAAACACTTGAAATAGAAAATAATGTCAGGTAATTAAATTGAAACCCGTTCAACGACCACTCTTGGTCTAGTAGCCTTAGCAGGAGACAAATTGCATACCTGCGTCACAGCACTGTTGATTGCCTGCTGTTTAACCATGTTGGTTACCACCGATACTGGCGTCGTTGTCGCAGACGCCGCCATTTGCTGATGGTTCATCTGGTTGACATGTTGTACGGGAGCCAAGGGTGGGGGCTGCGATTCCGACGCCGTATCAGAAGAAGCGGGTGGTTGGACGGCCAGATAAATCTTTGTGGGACCAAGAACACCTTGTTTACCTGTAGATGCCTGGGCTGCAAGAAAAAAGCAAACACTGTTATAGTGTTCATCGAAAACAACTTGTTCTATTTAAAAAACGGAAATTTCAAAGAAAACTTAACACAATATTTACCTTTGAGTAATTGTTGTTTAACTTGTTGCTGAACGGCAGCCAATTGCTGCGGGGTGAAGTCTGCTCCTTGCAGTCCTTGCAGTACAATCCGTGGCCCTTGTTGCGTTTGTATGACCTGGGCAGTAACACATTTAATCACAGTACCAGGAGGTTGACCAGCGAGCAACTGCTCCATCGTTGCAGGATCGATTGAATTATCGACAGAAATGGACTTAGTCGCTGTCGACGTTTGTTGTTGATTAGTTACCACTGCCGCTGATGTAGTAGTCTGCTGATCCTGAATGCTCTGTTGTTGTTGCAAGAGTTGCTTCACTGGTGTTATGGCCGCAGTTGTCTGAGGTTGAGGAGTCTGAAAATAAACAAAGTAATATAAATAGTGAAAAGAATGAAACAAGAGTTTGCATTACCTGTTGTTGGGTTTGCGTAATGGTACCGGTCGTTATCTGAGCAACAACCTGAGCCTGACCGTTTCCTGTAGGTCTAATCAGAACTTGCTGACCATTGATCGTAGCAATTTGAAGTTTACCAGAAGCCAATTGTTGAGCCACTTGCTGGTTTGGAACTATGAACTGATTAGTCACGACCTATAGGCAAATTTTTAAGATGTAAATATAGTACAAAACTTCATAAATATTATAACACAAACCTGCTGCTGTCCTCCGCTGGTGGTAACTACTTGCTGTCCACTAACAACAACCTGCTGCTGAATAACAGGCTGTCCTCCGCTGACCACAACAGTCCCTGGTGGCGTGTTCACTTTCTGCAAAACGGGGGTCTGCTGTTTAATAACAACTTGTGTTTTGTTTGGACTTTGTGTCAATGGTTGTTGTTGCGCTTGCGTCTGTTGAACCCCGGCAATCACCGTCGCGTTCTTCTGTTGCTGCACTATGACCTTGCCTGCGGACGTAATAGCTGATTTAATGACGGTTTTTGTTGGTACCACGGCAGTCGTTGGCGACGGCTGTTGAATCAACTTTTGAACGACGCCACTGGAAATAGTAGTGGCAGATGCGGTGCCCGCGCCCGACGCCGGTGTCTGTTGCTGAATTTGCGTAGTGCAGAGCACCTGCAGCTTGCCATCAGGCATCTGGATCAGCTGCTGACCAGGCATCAGACCCTTAACCGTAAGACGGCCGTCGGGCGTGCGCATGATCTGGACCCTTTGAGGAACGTCGGACTGTTTGGTGGGCGTTGCGGCTGTTGTCACTGCAGGAACAAACAGCAGGTAATTCCAAATTCCAATTTTAACAAAAACTACATATTTCTATAACCGTAACAATTTTTTAAGTTGATTTCAAAACATAAATTTCTAACCTGGTTGTTGAATTTGTATCTGCTGTACCGTCTGACCTCCGGTCGTTTGAACCTTAATAAGAGACTGCTGTACGGCCTGGGCGCCTTTGGTTATTATACCAGGCGATCCCGCAATAACTCTGGTACTACCATCTGGTCCTTTAGTCATAAATATCCTCCGACCTGCGTATTTGTTCACACCAGCCGCGTTATTTGCAGTCAACAGTGACGTCAGTGTCGATTTTCCGGGCGTCGCAGTGTTCGGTACTATAACATTCTTAACCACCTTCATCTGGACATCGTCGCCGGAACCTAGAAAAAAGCAAATAGCATCCTCTCAAAGCTTTTTCAAACATAAGTCTTAGTGACCACATTATTTAACGAAAACTCATGCCTTTAACATTTACAAAGTAATAAATACAATACTCTTTATCAGTCGCACTCTTCAAAAGAGAAATATAATAACGATCAAAAAAAATAAGACACAAAGGGGCAAAATTACACCGAATCTTGCTTTCCATTTTTTTTAATTACATGCTCTAGGCAAAAACATTTAAGAGGTAAGGTGGGTTTGGCACAGTACAACATATTTTTCTACCCATACCACCTACCTTTCGGTTGAATCGGTGTTGGGTTTGATGTTGCTGATTTAGTGGATGTAGTAGTATTAGTAGTTGTAACACTAGTAGTAGTAGTAGTACTAGTAGAAGTGGTAGCACTGGCCGCTTATAATAAAAAACCAACATGAAACTACAATAATTTTTCTTTTTATTTTTTTGTCTACTACTAATATTATCCGAACTGAATCTACAGTTCGCAAAACAAAACAGACCGTCTTTTATTATTTTTACAAATAAAATATTCCCTAAAATAAAACGGGTGTGCCACCACTGATTGGAGGAAAAAATTAAAAAAAAGGTTAATTACTTACAATAAAAATGTCTCCCCATTAAAAGCATTAAATCAATTTCTGTCAACCTACGTGAATGGTAAACAATATTTTGCTCGAAATTGGTAATTTTTACCGAAAATTAACTATTAAAGGAAGCTTTTGACATTCAATAATATTTTGACATATTATTACTAGATTTTAGAATACTCTTAACGTCCTAAAGGACATTTTTCAAATTATCTTATTGAAAAAGAACTGTAGATCCAACAATCATTCATTAAATGTAAACCATAACTGATTATAATTCTACTCATTAAGTCATAATGAAGCATGCAATACCTTTCTTAGTTAAAGAGGCCGAAAATATTATTTAGTTAATTAACATTAAAATAAATTTTCCCTTATTAGAATTTTAATTAATCAAGTGAAAAACATCAGTACTAAAGTCTAGGATCAACCAACCGGCTTTAAATACCAGGGCAATGAGGTAAAACTTTGTAAGTTACCCTTACCTTGTGCAGGACTTCCCACCACCTTGATGACCTGTCCGGTCGGCAAATTCTTCAATTCGAGTGCTCTTTTTTGCTGGTGCGCTGCTCTTTGCATGCGTAACTGTTGTTCCATCTTCTCCTTGATCTCTTCGGGTGTTGCCTTAGTCGTGACTGTTATCTTTGATGGCGGCTCGTGGGCGGAATCGATAGTGGGACGTGCAGGTGGTAAATTACCCGTACGGCTCCTAGTGATCACTTGAGCGTTAGCTTTTTCAACCCTGCAGGGACACACAGAAACAAAAAAGAAATATTGGCAAGCTGTTAGTGGTAAGGTAATCTTTGGGAAAGGGTAGTGCATAAGAGGACATAGCAAAGATGAAAATTCAAGAAAACATAATGCACAAAATTATAGGGGGTTAAATACTAAAAACTACCCTAATAAAGGCTTATTTATGTAAATATAAACACTCAAAATTATATGTATAAAATATTACTTTCACGGGTTCTTCTGTAAATTTTGAAGTTTTTTAATAATATATCTAATGCTAATTGACCATTACCCCACAGCTTGCCTTTATGACAAACGATACCAAAATTTTTTTGTTTATTTATTTTTATACTTTTACTTTCTGGCATTGAAAAAATCATCCAAAGTTACATTGTGTATATAGCTGAAATTTTCATATTTTACACGTGTTTTAATTTCAAACATACTAATATCCATAATTGGTACTTTTTAATATAGAGTTAAAAAACTAACTAACGAACTTGGGAGTAGCATGAAAAAAAAGGACTAAAACAATTAAAAAATGTCACTTACTTCTCCCCATATTGTTTAATTTCCCACAATTCTAATTTGTCCTCGTCCACCCACTCTTCTGAGACCTGAGGGTCAGTACTTTGAGGGGATTCAGGTCTCTTCCTCTTTCTAAGGCCGCTACGAATCGATGTAACTTCTATAAATGACAAATAATGTAAACATTCGTTTCGTCAGCGATAAGAGAAATACAACCTACCTCTGACTGTTTTAGGGAGTTCCAATGGTATAACCACTTTTCTGCGCAAATACTGAGTCCTCTCTGAGAACCGACCGACTTGTCGGTGTTTTAAAAGTTCAAGTGACAGTATTTCAGTCTCGGTTGTAATTTGGTGTTTACCGTCTGAGGTAGGGGGCTTCATTTGCATGTCATCCCAACGCAGACACGCCCATAAAATGCGTAGTTGTAGCGCGACAGCAGATAAAGCTTTCAAGTTCACCGTACGATACAACCAGCATGTCTTAAACAGGGGTCGCGAACACGGATATGGCCAAACCTACGAAAAGATTGAGAAAAATTTTGACTTTAAAAACTCCTTAAAAATTCAATTCTCCAAAATTGTAAATATTAATGTTACCTGGGTATTTGGTTTTGCGATATGATGGAACCCAATCACAGTGACCCTTCCAGCATTCCTGGCAACCCTCCTGACCTCATGCGTGGGTAGAACAAGTAACGATTTCAGTCCCTTTTTAGTAGAGAACGTGGAGCACACAGGATACTTTACAATTGCACGTTTCTTACGTTTTTCATTAGAAAGTGGCACCTTCTTCAGATAAACCCTCCCTTCTGTTGATATAGTTGTATACACCCTTTGAGTACCATCTTCTGCGTGTTCCGCCTTTACCATTCTAAAACAAAATAAAAAAAAAAAAGATTAGCTATAAAATCGAATAGATCACGAAATGAATTTTACTTTTCTTCTCTAGCCACCCTATATGTACAAAACCTTCGGTTATGCTGCGCGCTGTATACCGACGTTTTAGCGTTCAATGTCTGAATGGTACGCATTGGTGTATGTGTTACATTTGTGACGCTAACAGTGGAAGTAGTATTGGCTTTAGTATCCGTTAAAACACCTCCCACGAACGTTTGATGCGTCGTGACAGTCGTGGTCTTGGTTACTTCAGTAACTGAAGAGTCTGCAACATTTTTTGCTTTTGAAACATCATCCGTTACTATTTCTTCGATATCCATATCATCATCTTCAATTTTAACTTTATTAGTTTGCTCCTTTGAAGAATTAGGTCCCAAAATCATCTCCTTAATAGCTTCTGGAGTCATATTTTCCATTTTAGTATCATCTTTACTATTTTCTTTGACTTTATTTTCCACATTGTAATCCACTTCCATTTTAATTTCATTTGCATCTTCTTTTTTTACGAGAGTTTTTACCTCGTTATTTTTAGCCTCTTTGGTTACAACTTCTGTCTTCTTAGGCACATATGCAGCACAATTTGGATCTACTTTTACTTTTTGGGCCGAAATCACTGCGCTTGTAAGTTCTTTCAGAAGACTCGATTCGCTAACAGTTTCTTTTTCTTCCTTTTTAACAATTGGCGGTGACGTCAATTTTTGTTCCAAAATTGATGGCTTCTTTAACTGCATGCCCATAAGATTACTAAGTTTCATAGATCCATGAGAATATGTGTGCATGTTTGCTCTTTTTAAAAGACTTAAAAGCTCTTTTCGTACTTTGTACTTTTGCAAACATAATGAGGAATAACACGTGTTTTCTAATGTCATGGCATTACTATTGCAACCTTTGGAATAACATGCAAAATCTTTACCTAGTTTCATTATGGACGTATAATGTATACGAAGAGCTTGTATTTTTTTGGCTATGGTATTCAGAATTTCACGATTAGCTTGAGGTTGCTGCATACTAGTGGCAATGTTCACCTTTCCAGAAAGCATGTTGTTTAACTGTTTCTCAAGACCAGAATCTGCCATTGAATCTTCATCATTTTCAACATCAACAGCTTCATCCTCATTTTGGGGATTGTCATGCTTAATCTGTTTAATCCTGTCTTCTTCCAGTTCTTTCAAATGAACCCTTCTACTTAGCAAATCATCTAATTTAGACTTTTTGGCAACTTTAGGATATAAAAGACGTCCAACAATGGTCAGAGCACTAGAAACGTTAATTTCTTCTAATTCTGTTATTGGTTGTATCACTTTCAAGTTCTTCAAAGTAGCCAATTCTAGAAAAAATATTCATGAATAAATGTTACAAATTAATTTAAAAAAAAACATTAGGTACCTTTATCTTCAATTTTACCATCACATTCTTCAGGTTTCTTTTCATCTTTAATGTTAAACTGACTTTTCACAAAGTTCTCGTTTAAATACTCATACACTTTTGGTTCCAAGGATAGAATTTTGTAACCTGTTTGATCCTGCACTTGCACCATGTACTTCTGAGGACCAGCAGCCAGTCCCATTTTAAAAGAATCTTGAATCTTATGAATACGAGATGCAGATAACCAAAGCCACCCCCAACGACCATGTATTCGGTATTCCTCGCCTTTTTGCTTCCACAATTGGTGTTTGAACCCCATTGTGTACTTAACATACCCTGTAACAAAACAGACAAAATAAATCGTCACTTATTATCACGAATTTATACATTATTTACCAGTTATCATCATCCTATTTCGCTCTTCTTCTTCTTCTCTCTCCTTTTTCTCCCTTTTCTCTATTTTCTTCCTTTCCTCCCTTTCAGCAGCAGTCATGCGTAACAATTTCACATGACCTAGCTGCTCATGCCAAACATTGGCAAAAACTACTGATTTCATGCAGGCATGAAGTACTATAAGGGCCCTGGCGAAATCTTTTGGTTGCTGACATGCATTTACCACTGAAAACCAGTGTTTCCGTATAAGAGTCCAATTGGGATGCATAAAAGGAGATGGGATCACTTGTTCTAATTGCAAGATTGTCTGGCGTAACGTATTCAGTAGCAGAGTCCTATTCCCGCTAACGCCGCCGATCCATTTGAACTCTGATGCTGTGGTAAGGGAAAATTTATGGGAAAGGTGACGTTTCTTGTCCCTTTCCTCGTTCCTTTGTGGTTTGTTTAAAGCAATTGGATTCGTCGTATACTGATTTATGTAAGACTTAAAACTGTTCTCCATTCCTAATTTGTATAAATATGTTCCGTTTGCGATTTGAGTGGACTTTAAACGTGTCATCCTCAAAGAATCTGTCAATTCTTTGGTATTATCCGTTTTCTTGTCAAGGTCGTCGCGGCTCAGGATTGCAGTTGTACGCCGACGTAGTTCTTCAATGTTAACTGCTTTGGGGGTTGAAACGGTGGATTTTATTTTCAAGGAGTCTTTTTGTTTGTCAGAATCGTTTTCATCATTAGTAGTGTCTTGAGATTTTCCGCTTTCATTAGCGTTAAAATTATCTGAAGTTACGTCGGAGGGTGTTACCATTTCGTTGTTAACCATGTTTACAGAATTGTTCAAATCTAAAGAAGTCGAATCCATAGAACTGGAAGCATCGCCCTGTATTTTTGTCCCCATGTCCTCAGTAGCTTGTCTCCCCTTCTCTTTCACCTCTTCTTCTTTCTTTTCATCTATTTCTTTCCGCAACTGAATAATTTTTGCTACAAAAATACACACCATACAACAAAAACACAAAAAAAAAAAGGAAAAACCGTTACCATTTTCAAACTCTAAATAAGATTTTTTATTGCCCTTCAGTTGATTTGTTAATTTTTCAGTCAACTCCATTTGCCTGACTATTTCCTCCTTGTACTCATGAAGTTCTCTACACAAGTGACTTTCCATTTCATTTTCATCCAAAACCTTCAACACCTCTTCAAATTGTAAAGGTGTAGAGTAATACCAAACTTCATCTTCACTTTCACTATGATATAAAAATTATTATGTATTATTAATCTACAACTGAATGTAAATAAAATTATATATGCTTACATAAATAACCTCCGACACAAAAAGAAGTACTTCCGTCCATGTCTATCACAGCCTAGGTGCTCCTGGCGACACAACTGCCCTTGTTTCTCTTGATCCAAGATACAGTCTACCACACCAGAGACCTTATGAGAGCGACAAATATTACACTGCCAATCTTCTTCTGGAACATCTGTTAAGGGGGGATCCACACACTCCAAATGGTAGACTGCAGGACAAGTTTCACAGCATAAAAGGTCTCCCAGTTTGTGGCAAACTCGACAATGATCATCATAGTGCATGGGCACTGTAAAAAAATAAATAAATAACACCTTATTACTATTGTTTATAGCTTATAGGTTGTACCCTTTTTTCTTAATTATGAAAATTTACCTTCACTTAAAAGGTCTTCCCTTACAGGATTTGTTGTAAGAAATTGATCAGTTAAAAACTGTAAAACTTTTATACGGTCTTCTAGACATGTAAAAGGATAATCAGAGGAATTGAAAATGTGAAGAACTTCTGAATCAAAAGTTTTGTCACTTTCAACATAAGCCCTGAGAACCTCAGGGTATGTCATATAATCAATCAAATACAAGGAGATATTAACACTATCCTTTTGATCCAATGGGCCAAAATGAGTCTGCTGAGAATCTTCCTCACGTAATAGAGCTTTCAAAAGCATAATGTGTACTTCAGCTAGTAGAGCATTTTGATCTTCGCACATTAATGCAGCACAAAAATCTTCCAAACGAAATGGCGACAAACGCACTAAATTCCGAAAATGTCTCAAAACTTCATATATGCTTAACACAGGCATTATATACTCTTTAGGTACAAGAAGATCTTCAGATGATTTGGGCAAATTTAATGAAGGTAATTCTCTGTTCTGTAACCACAAAGGTTCTGGAGTTGGTGGTCTAGGAGCACCTTGCCTTCTAGGTGTTCCACTCATGGTACTAAAGCTACTGAGAGAAAAATCACTATCACTAGAGTGATCACCGTCTCCCACAGATCCCTCAGTCTCACTGCCACTGAGACCCAAATCATCTTCTAACTCACTTTTATCAGAAGAATCATCTCCAAAATCTGACCCATAATGATATTCTGAATCGTGATAATCTGCATTTGGGTTATAACCTCTTCTAGGGTAAGCAGACCCTGCCAACCCTCCCCTTCTTGATTTATGCCCATCTTTACATTTACCTCTGGTACTACTTCTTCTGCTGATATCACTTTCTTGTGGTGACGAAGGCCTAGAAGTGTTTGGTGTGCTTGATTGTGAGTCTGAACCTTTGCTGAGGTTTTGTAAATATTTCGGTTTTTTTAACAAATGATACTGAAACTTTTTAGTCCTTTCAGTAACCTGCACCTTAGGGGGTCTCCCCCTCTTCTTGGCACCTCTAGTGGACATGCTGTACTTTCAGCTGTCAATCACAAGGCGCACTACACGTGGTATATTATGAAAACAAGTTTGTATACAAATACAACTAATGTCACATCACTTTATATCGAGCCATGGTCGTTTGCCGATCTTTTCGCCATTCTATTTGCTACGTCACGTGACAAACAAGAGAATAAGCATTTTCAGCGCCAATTATGATCGTTTTCTGCATATAAATAGTTTTTTCTCAATATATCACTCACAAATCTTGTTCTTTTAGCTATAAAACGACCCTTATATCAACAAGATATGTAAAAATATCATAATGACGCGAAGCTTGGCGAAAAACAACACTCAACAACCAATCCTACGAACGTTCCTATTGGCTGATGCACCTTCCGCCATTAAACCTTACAATTAATAAATTCAACTTGCTGATTTTGATTTAGTTTCAATGTCGTAATATCACATACCGAAATTAAGCACATTGACCAGCATTTCTGCATATTTTTTTACAAAATTACACAATTTCTTAACAGATCGATTAGTTCCCGAAACGCTGGCGTCCAATCAAACGCAGACAATATATATTACTAAGTATTTGCGGAAGATGTCGTTGTTGAATTTTTAAAATAAAGCCTGTTTTGTTAATAAACAACGGAAAATCCTATAAAAACCTGGTAGTTTTATAAATTCAAATTGTTATAGACGGGTTTGGCACAGTACAACATATTTTTCTACCCATACCACCTACCTTTCGGTTGAATCGGTGTTGGGTTTGATGTTGCTGATTTAGTGGATGTAGTAGTATTAGTAGTTGTAACACTAGTAGTAGTAGTAGTACTAGTAGAAGTGGTAGCACTGGCCGCTTATAATAAAAAACCAACATGAAACTACAATAATTTTTCTTTTTATTTTTTTGTCTACTACTAATATTATCCGAACTGAATCTACAGTTCGCAAAACAAAACAGACCGTCTTTTATTATTTTTACAAATAAAATATTCCCTAAAATAAAACGGGTGTGCCACCACTGATTGGAGGAAAAAATTAAAAAAAAGGTTAATTACTTACAATAAAAATGTCTCCCCATTAAAAGCATTAAATCAATTTCTGTCAACCTACGTGAATGGTAAACAATATTTTGCTCGAAATTGGTAATTTTTACCGAAAATTAACTATTAAAGGAAGCTTTTGACATTCAATAATATTTTGACATATTATTACTAGATTTTAGAATACTCTTAACGTCCTAAAGGACATTTTTCAAATTATCTTATTGAAAAAGAACTGTAGATCCAACAATCATTCATTAAATGTAAACCATAACTGATTATAATTCTACTCATTAAGTCATAATGAAGCATGCAATACCTTTCTTAGTTAAAGAGGCCGAAAATATTATTTAGTTAATTAACATTAAAATAAATTTTCCCTTATTAGAATTTTAATTAATCAAGTGAAAAACATCAGTACTAAAGTCTAGGATCAACCAACCGGCTTTAAATACCAGGGCAATGAGGTAAAACTTTGTAAGTTACCCTTACCTTGTGCAGGACTTCCCACCACCTTGATGACCTGTCCGGTCGGCAAATTCTTCAATTCGAGTGCTCTTTTTTGCTGGTGCGCTGCTCTTTGCATGCGTAACTGTTGTTCCATCTTCTCCTTGATCTCTTCGGGTGTTGCCTTAGTCGTGACTGTTATCTTTGATGGCGGCTCGTGGGCGGAATCGATAGTGGGACGTGCAGGTGGTAAATTACCCGTACGGCTCCTAGTGATCACTTGAGCGTTAGCTTTTTCAACCCTGCAGGGACACACAGAAACAAAAAAGAAATATTGGCAAGCTGTTAGTGGTAAGGTAATCTTTGGGAAAGGGTAGTGCATAAGAGGACATAGCAAAGATGAAAATTCAAGAAAACATAATGCACAAAATTATAGGGGGTTAAATACTAAAAACTACCCTAATAAAGGCTTATTTATGTAAATATAAACACTCAAAATTATATGTATAAAATATTACTTTCACGGGTTCTTCTGTAAATTTTGAAGTTTTTTAATAATATATCTAATGCTAGTTGACCATTACCCCACAGCTTGCCTTTATGACAAACGATACCAAAATTTTTTTGTTTATTTATTT